GGCCACTTCTCCTACCATGAGGCCTTTGTACCTGCCTTTGCTGGGCCTGGAGGCTCTGCTCCTACTTTGCTCCCAGAAGGTGCACACTTGTCCTGGCTAACTTCTATCTACCTGTCCCTCTCAGCTTGGAGGGTAATGTTGTTTGGATGTTTGTTCCCTCCCAATCTCATATTAAAGCATGATCTCCAATGTTGGAGGTGTCGCCTAGCAGGAGGTGTTTGGATCATGGTAGGGGATCCCTCATGAATGGCTTGATGCCCTCCTTATGGTAATGAGTGAGTCTCACTCTATTAGTTCACACAGGAGCTGGTGGTTTAAAAGAACCTGGCATCTCTCTTGCTGCCTCTCTCACCATGTGACACGCCTGCTTCTCCTTTACCTTCTTCCATGATTGGAAACTTTCTGAGGCCTCACCAGAAGTAGATCATGGTGCCATGCTTCTTGTACAGGCTGCAGAACTATAAGCCAGATAAACCTCTTTTAGTTATAAATTACCCAGCCTCAGGTATTCCTTTATAGCAACACAAAATGGACTCATACAGAGGGTCTTTCCTGGCAATCTTCTGTATATCCGTTGCACCCCCTTGCATGGCTTCCTGTAATTTTCCTTCACAGCAGTTAACACAAATGTAATTATTGGTTATTTTAATAACCATTTTCTAATTTCTGTTTTTCTCACTAGATTATAAGCTTCTTATTGTTATATCCCCAGTGGCTAATGGGATGCCTGGCACAAACCTAACATTCAGTAGACATTTTTTTCATTGATGAATGAATGAGGTATAAATATAAAGCAATGAGACTGATTCCAAATGTTGTAAACGAATGATGTTTGTCTCTCTCTGTTGGGAATGGCATTCTACCCTTATCCCCATTAACCAAAATCTCCTCTTTCTTTGACGCCCCCAGTTCTAATTACCACTTGCTGTGGAAAGTATGTGTACCTCCTGAAGCCCACTCTGATCACTTATATCTTCAACCCCTGCAGAGCTTTCGTTGACAGAAGAATGAAAGAGGCAAAGAAATTAATGGGAAGCTCTGTGATGGCCTTTTCCCAACAACAGGGAGTTATCTTCCTTTCTCTCAGTTTCTTTCTACTCTTTCCCTTTGAATATGCAGCTGAATTTCCTCTAATTTGCTTTGATCACTCCCTTAGGAGCTATCATGGAATCAATCAGATCTGTAGAATTTTACAACTCGGGGTCATCCAGTATGATTTCTCATTTTACAGATAAGAAAACTGAGGCCCAGAGAGGTTAATGTTTGAAACAATTACTTCTGCTGGGTCATAAAATACCAATCAGTGTCATTTTCTAAGATACATTTTCTCAATATCCCAGCTCCATGAGAGTAGAAATCCTCATGCTGCTTGTTTTATTTTATTTCTTTTTTTGAGACAAAGTCTTGCTCGGTCACCCAGTCTGGAGTACAGTGGTGCGAGCATGGCTTACTGCAGCCTTAACCTCCTGGGCTCAAGCGATCCTCTCACTTTAGCCTCCTGAATAGCTGATTCTACAAGCACAAGCCACCAATCTTGGTTAATTTTTTCATTTTTATTTTTGTAGAGATGGGGGTCTCTCTGTGTTGTTGGCCTTGAGTCCTGAGCTCAAGCCATCCTCCCACCTCACCCTTCCAAAGTGCTAGAATTGTAGGCATAAGCCACTGTACCTGGCCTCATTTTGCTTATTTAAATACCTCCTGGTGGTGACTGTCTCAGTGGTAAGGTGAAGCCCATAGGATGGGCTTCCATCCTACTCCCACAGCAGAGCTCCATTAATCTTGGGTGGGTCAGGACTCTGGCTGTGACCAGACCCCCACTCTAAATGGGGCCACATGCTTCACATTGACAGAGGGGCCCCATGGGTGTACTGAGACCCAACGGGAATAATGAGTCATGAGACCTGTTGTGTTTCAACAATTGCAGAAGAGTAAAAAAAAAAAAAAAAAGAAAAAAAAAAGAAAAGAAAATTCCTTTCCTCAAAAGTCATATAGGGTCAACTGAGAAAATGTTTTATAACAGCCATGGAAAGAGAGGGAGGTCTAAAAACTTGATCTGAAACATTGTCAGTGACTTCTCCCTGGCTGAAAAAAAATAGGCAAGCAGAGCATAACTTTAATAAACACATTTGAGAGAACAAAACACAGTGTTCAAGAAGACAGAAAAAGTGGTTCTTTTACATCTAGAGAATCAATAACAAATTAAGCAAAGTCCAGGTGAGCCTCGACAGTGTGAATTTATACTCCATGCAGGCCACAAAGGTGAGATCTGTCTTCCAGGTTGGCCACATGATGGGACCTGGGCACAGGGAGGTCCATGTGCTGGGCACAAGGCAGGCTGTGAAGGAGCTATGTGGACTGTGGATGCACCACTCCAGGGATGCCCTGCAGCCCCCTCAGGTCTCACTGACTCCTGGGGGAGGTAGGTGCACCAGGGTCAGTGTGCACAGGTTCTTACCTGTTGTGTGGAGGATGTACTAGTATGCTATAATATGCCATCTAATTCAGCCAGGGGATTTTCCAGAGCTGGAGTAACTCAGGTAAAGAAGAACAAAAAGTCATCCTAGGTAGAAAGCATAAGATAAGAACAGCATAAGAACAGGGTTGGAACTGGGAAACAGAGTTGTGAGTTTGGGGATGTTAGTCCTTGGCATTGCAGAAGGTGGAATGGAGTGGGGGGAGATGCTGGTGGGTTATGAATGGTGTGATTGGAGGTCAAGTGAAAGGTGGAGTGCTGGGTGATATTTGGCCTGGAGCTGAGACTATCCAGGGTAGTGAATCATGATGGCCTGTGTGTCCCAGAACTGTTGCAAGGATACTGGCAGGAGCTGATCTGTTGGTGAGGGACTGGCAGGACTTCAAGTTGGTGAGGGAACTGGCACTCTAGGAGTCCTGGGAGAGGCTGGGGGCCAGGAGGACCCTGGGTTGACTGCAGTTTAGGTGCCTTGGTGGCAGAGGCCCAGACAGCGAGAGTGACCATGAATGAGGTCACTTTACAGACCTGGGCATGCAGGGCCAGCTCTGAATGTGCCCATTTCCCCACCTCCCCACACCATGCCTGTTTTTTGGTTTCCTTCACACAAGTTTAGAGGACAGCCTTGCTTCTATCCACCTGCTATCCACAGGGGGCTTTATTCTTTTCAAGGAGCAATTGCAGTATATTTTCCATGCACACATAATTGGCTTTTAGCTCCGTTAATGAAGAATTCTAGTGTATATATTTAAAGTCCACCACTGTAAATAATAAGCAATTAGCACAGTATTCAAAGATACTGGTATGATTTGGTTACCTTGATCACCACTGCTAAATAGTCAAGGATCCTCATTCATTTTCACGTTAGAAAGTTTAATTTCTTTTCTCTATTTTTTTTTATTCTAGGCAAACAGAATATAAGTTTAAATTTATTCCTGGAAATATTCTCAGTTCTTGAGACCAGGATCTGGAGAGCTACCAGATGTGGGCAGCTTCTTCCTTAACTCCTTTTCTCCAAGCACAAGGAAGAAAGAACGATCCAGCAACTCTTCTTTGACCCCTGCCCTAGAGAGCTCAGTTAAGGGAGCCATGCCTTTAAAGACCCCTCCCGACTCCCCTCCAACCCTCACTGCCTGTTATTGAAGTAATCTTCTAGAAGTTCTTAGGTGATTTTATTTGATCATTCAAAGTATTTTCTACTAGCTTCTCTTGTAATTTCTTTTAGCCGTATAAGTATGGGTGAGTTGCATGATGTCTTTTCATCTGTAAATTGGGGATAATAATACCTAGTTCTGAAAGTTGTTGGGAATAGTGAAAGACATCACTTAACACATGTGTTGTTCTTCTCTTTTATTCCAATCTACAAGGCTGTTATAAATGGGAGCTCACTTTTCTAATGTGAATCATGATTGTCTTTCCCTTAAGAAAGTTTCATTATTCACTAAAGTAACACCCTCCAACATTTTCCTCCATCATAGCCTTGCTTGAAATTTGCACACAATAGAGCTTCATTTGCTACATTAGGGGTTCTTCTTAGCAGCCTTCACTTTTACCAGTTTTATAGTCTAGGTCTTTGTGTTAGTCCACTCTTGCATTGCTGTAAAGAAAAAACTGAGCTGAGTAATTTATAAAGAAAAGAGGTTTAACTTGTTCATAGTTCTGCAGACTGAACATGAAACATAGTGCCAGCATCTACTTCTCCTGAGGGCCTCAGGAAGCTTCCACTCATGGCAGGCCAGGGGAGCCAGCATGTCACATGGCGAGAGATGAAGCAAGAGAGAGAGAAGGGGGAGCTCCCAGATTCTTTTAAACAGCCAGATGTCACTCATCACCAAAGGGATGGTGCTAAACTGTTCATGAGGGATCTGCCTCCATGATCAAATCACCTCCCACCAGGCCCCACCTCCAACATTGGGAATCACATTTCACATGAGATTTGGAGGGGAGAAACATCCAAACCATATCAGTCTTTCAAATAGATAGATGTTATGGAAAAAAAGTTTATGAGAATCTAAGTTTGTTGAGAAACCCTGAAAAGCTTTAAATTCATGTGCTTTACAGAGACATAAAGGAATTTCACCACAATAAAGAAATTAGGTTCAAAGATGGGGATTTCCAAAGTGTGGGTGTCAAGTAATTGTACCTCTAATCCACAGATTGGCTTTCAGAGCAGGGACTGTGGAAGTGAGGAAGAAAGTCTCTGCCATCACATGGGCTGAAAGCTGCATGTTGTCCCCATGGATGTAATAAGCCAGTCACAGAATGAGCATTATGGGTTAGGCAAGGGACAGCTTTCTTGAATGAAGTGTGTTATATTTTGGGATGGGCTGCAAAGAAATATGAAGTTTTCTTATAAGATTTTTAAAATCAAGTTGCGCTTAGATGTCTTCATTTCTCAAGTCAACGTGCTGAACTGGTGAGCTCTTAAGGCCCCTTAGCCCCAGGATTCTCCTCTGCTATGCCTATTTTTGTATTCTCACTCTCTATTTTGTGTTTTTGCATGTGTGTACCTGTGGCTCGCTATGTACAGTGGGAAGAAGTCAGTGGCTATGATGAAAACCTGAACACCATCCGCACCTACCAGGTGTGCAATGTCTTCGAGCCCAACCAGAACAATTGGCTGCTCACCACCTTCATCAACCGGCGGGGGGCCCATCGCATCTACACAGAGATGCGCTTCACTGTGAGAGACTGCAGCAGCCTCCCTAATGTCCCAGGATCCTGCAAGGAGACCTTCAACTTGTATTACTATGAGACTGACTCTGTCATTGCCACCAAGAAGTCGGCCTTCTGGTCTGAGGCCCCCTACCTCAAAGTAGACACCATTGCTGCAGATGAGAGCTTCTCCCAGGTTGACTTTGGGGGAAGGCTGATGAAGGTAAACACAGAAGTCAGGAGCTTTGGGCCTCTTACTCGGAATGGTTTTTACCTCGCTTTTCAGGATTATGGAGCCTGTATGTCTCTTCTTTCTGTCCGTGTCTTCTTCAAAAAGTGTCCCAGCATTGTGCAAAATTTTGCAGTGTTTCCAGAGACCATGACGGGGGCAGAGAGCACATCTCTGGTGATCGCTCGGGGCACATGCATCCCCAACGCAGAGGAAGTGGACGTGCCCATCAAACTCTACTGCAACGGGGATGGGGAATGGATGGTGCCCATTGGGCGATGCACCTGCAAGCCTGGGTATGAGCCTGAGAACAGCGTGGCATGCAAGGGTAAGCTCTGGAGCCTCTGCTTCCTGCCCACCTATGGCAGGGCCAGATCTGCAAGTTTTCTCCACTAATAATTCTGGGTCATACAGGAACAGAAAAGAGTCTAATGGCTTATTATAAAGCTCTGAGGACTCCTATTCCTAGTGCTAGGCCTGATGATTTTCCAATCATGTCCAACCAGATTGTCCATATTTATTATTCATGGTGAGAGGAAGAGATGGGGAGAATTTCAAACAGTGGAAAATAACTTAATAACCAGTGCATAATATTTAGTGTTGAAGTGTTGAATTTATATCTCTCTCTCCTCTCTCTCTCTGTCTCTCTCTCTCTCTCTCTCTCTCTCTCACACACACACACACACACACACCCCTATATCCTGCATCCAGCCCTAAGCTCTGTGGCTGGAGACTGTGGAATTTGGGTTGCCATGGACAATTCACTCAAGGGTAATTGAGAAGTGACTGAATTTGGAAAATATTTTAGTTCATTTCAGTCCAGCTCCCACAGCACTCAACTTGGTACTGAACCCATGTAGCTCATTAACTCAAAGCCCTCTGGCTTGGCTGTCTTTCTCTAGGGGCTCATTGCCAGGCCCTGGAAGGAGATGAAACTATTGGAATGGGAGTGGGGCTGTATCATGTATTGTATTAACTTTTGCTTCTAAATGACACAGAGTGATGCAAACTTTGCAGTTTGAGAGTGTCAGGATACTATGTGCTCATATTAGCCATCACTAACACTAACCCTAGAAAGCCCATATTCAACATGTGGCAATAAATGTGCTGAACTGGCTGCAGGCTCAGTCTGCTCTGGGAGTGAATAGAAGGATCTGGAGGCCCCACAGCTTATGCATTGTCTAAGTGCATGGAAGCTGAACGTGGGGGGAATCCAGGGTTGGGGAAGAGAAGACTGCTTTCCCTTATTAAATTTTGCTTGGAACCTTCAAAGGTCCTGATTCTTTTACAAGGAAGCCTTCCTATATGGACCTCAGAAATGACCACCTTAACCTTAATGAACCCCCAGGGTTGCCCTTAGTCCTTTGGGGCTTAGAGGCTGCATTAGCAACTTATTCTCTGTTGTGAGCCTCCTGCCTGCTTCCCTCTCTGATGTCACCCCCACCCTGCCTGAGCACCAGACCAGCCTATGCCAGTTTACTTCCCTTCTTACCTTGCTTCCCAGACACCTGCGGGTGAAGTGCCAAGCACAGGCTTGTAGTACCATCAGCTCTGCAATCCTTTGGACTCAGCTAATTGCCTGGGCCAGAACACTCACACAGCCTTTCTGAGGCCTGCTGAGAGTAGGGAGCTGCACCTTTGTGTCTTTATTGGATTTCTTGGTCCTGGTACCCATGATGGATGGTGTGGAAACAGAGGAGAGAGAGTGCCAGATCCCAGATCCAGTGATGAATCAACGTTGACAGTTTTAAAACCATCCCAGCCTGGTCCCACAGTCCTCCTCTTTGTGCCATTGGTTGGGATGGGTCACTATCTTTGCCATTTGTCTGGATCTAAGTGGGGACCAAGGCACCAGGCTGAGTTATTAAAGGCACAGGTGCAGCAGCTATCTGGCATGCTCACAGCAGTGCATGGTGGGTGATTTCTCTGGTTTTCAGAGGGCTGCCACACCACACTTGCTGGCAGGGGCACTCTCATTTTTCTCATTACATTCTGAGCAGAATGGCAGGAACCAGAGCTAGCATTATTGGTTCTGATTTAATTGGGTCTCTGGGAACAGGCTTTCATTTCTTTGGGCTAATTGGAACTTTTCTTTTTTAGAGGGTTCTGCTGTCCATGTAGCTTGTCAGCTACCTCCTGTGGCTGTCCTGAGAGGGCCTGTGAGGACAAATATGTAAATCCAAATTGTTTCTTTCCATTTCTCCTTCCCAGTCTCAATCCCCTCCTGAGTTTTGTTGGACATTTCTAATCTCTAGCTATTGTGAACATGGCTTGACTTTACAAACTACTTATTGCAAACTCATTGGAGGGTAGAGGAAATGGGGAACCCATGGCACCATCACTTGGCCACTTCAGAGGCACAGGAAGCCACATTTCTGAGAGTGGAGAGTGGCATCATGGGTCTTGTGGCCCAGCATCCTGGCCAAGGTCAGTGCCCTGGAAGGGAAGAGAAGGGCCTCTTGCCCTTGTCTCAAGAACTTTCAGTTGAATCCCCTGAAATCTTTGCCCTTAACTCTGCTGATAACTGGACTCTGACGGCTGGCAAGGGGACCTTCAGTCAAAAATGGTGATCTTGGGAAGACTCTGCACTCTTTGGTGGGGGTTGGGAAGTGCACGTGGAGGTACTTGTTACTGGTCTCCATGGTGTGTCTTCAGGGAAAGGCTTTCCACTCATTTTTGGTGCTCACGGAGTGCTGCCAGATGGACACGGTGGCCGTTCACAATGGTTTTGGTGTAGCCCACTTAGCACAATCATCATGAGGGCAGAAGCAGGGAAAATGGTGGATAACAGAGAATTGCAGTTGAGACACAGTGAGCCTTCAACAGCTAGCTCTCTCCCAACACAGCCCTGAGAATTGGTGTCCTCTGAGCCTAGCTGGGCCAAATGCTGATGGTTCTATGATTCATACAGCTGTGCTGATTTGATACATCTTTTCTGCATATGTGAAACTGGGACTTTGTAGGGTGGCAGAAATAATAATCCCTCTGCTTCTGGTTCTATGCTATTTTTCCTGGAAGAACAGACTTTCATTATGGCCAGGGAACCGTATTTTCTTGGCTTTCACTTTGCTTCTGCAAAACTGTCTCCTGTCAAAGTCATGGTGACCAGTCGCTTGGCTGTGCAGAGGCACCTGGAGACCAATTAGACAGCACAGCCAGCAAAGAGTGGTCCTGGCCTAGAGCTGTTTCTGTTGTGAAGAGCGTGGGTGGTGAGAAGAGAACAGGTGAGAGGGGAGTAAAGGAAGCCATGGGGAGAACTTGTGCATTAGAATGTGTGGCAAGCGGCTCATGCATTTTCCAGAGGGCTCCTTGGCCTAAGGCCTGTTCCTGACATCCTTTCTGTACACACAGGCTGGTCCCATCAGGCAGAGTCACATCGGCCTTTTGACCTCATCTCACTAGTGACTCTGACTTCATCATGCATTTGTCTTTATAAAATTGTTAATTACTAGGAAAATGGCCCATCTACCCCAATTTCAAGTTGTGCTCATAGTGTAGCGGATTAATGAGAAATCATAGCTTTGTCTTCACTTCTCCCCTCTTCCCTGCTGAGGTTGGTGGCTAAGTCTATTCTCTGTGTAGGTCCCGTGCTGCCTGGTTCTTCCTGTGCCAGGGAGGCCGAGTTGACTCTCAGCAGACCCTCTCTCTCTCTCTCTGCTGTGTAGCCTAAAATATTGCCTTAGCTGAAGTTGGACTGCAGGGAGGATGGGGAAGAGACTGGGGCTGTTAGAAGGAACCTGGCAGGGGCAGGCTCCTTATCTATGTGCTAGAAGCTTGGGGCCTGCAGTATCCCATAAGGATGTCCATGGAGGTGTCTCAGAAATAGGCAGACAAGATATGACTGTTATGTCTTCTGTGACAGGCCCTGAGTGGCCAGATCCTAGCTGGAGCACTGTGCCTGTGCGCCCATGGATCCGTTCTTCCCATGGATCCGTTCTTCCCCTGAGTGCTGCCTGAGGGCTTGGCTTTCCCTCCCAGGACATAGTCCTTGGAGTTTCCAGAAGAAGCTGCTTCATTAGGCTGCCTCTTTAGCCACACTGGGGACTCAGAAAATGACAATGCTATGCATAATTCTCCCTGCCATCCTCTCTTACCTCTGCCCCTGCCCCAGGTTGACCTTAGCTTGCTATTACAGAGGGCACACGCCAACTTATGGTGCCTAGGCCTTCATTGTCTGGGGCTGTCATGCACAGGAGGTGCAGGTGGATGAAAGAGGAAGGGGGTATGCTTGGGTGGAAGAGACCTAACCTAGACATAGGGGCTGGTTTTAGTCTTGGCTCTGCTGAGAACTTGCTGCGTGGTTTTAGGTAAGTCCCTTTCCATTGACAGTCATATCTTCTCTGCCTGTTTCTCAGAGTGTGCGAAAACGGATATGAGAATATTTTCTAAGCCATGCCATGCTACATATTGCTAGGTGTCATTGTCCTTAAGCTCTGAATCATCCTTGTTAAGAAAATAAGATTCTGGGATGAAGATGGCATGGGACTCCCCCGTCCAGAGACACAGGTCAGCAGGAATCCTGAATTCCCAGTCATCACCTTCCTGCACCTGCCCAGGCCCAGTTCCATGACCACCAAGTGGTGACAACTGAAAACAGCAAAAAGGAATAAGCCACTGTTCCTCAACTGATCAAAGGGCCAGTTAACGCATGTTTGAGTGCTGTGGCTCACATGGCCTGCCTTGAGGCAGGTGGTCTAGGCAGGTGGTCTTCGTGAAATGAAGGACCAAGTGGAGAGAGAAGACTCTCCAAGCCCAGGAGAGCCATGGTCTTCAGAACCAGCAATTTTTGACCCCAGGGCAGGCATGAGAACCCTCAGCAAGGTTTTACAAAGTGGCATCCCCAGTTGCCTCCTTCTGAGTTGGTGATAAGTCTTGTATACAGCCCAAACATGGGAATTTTAAAAAAATCCAAGAACCCCAGCTCTAAGCAGCAGACAGGACCATCTATGTGGCTAGTGTCCAGAAGAAAGGGACCCCAGAGTAGGTCAGTGAAGATATTCTTGGGTTTCTGGGATTTGTAGACAGGATGAACCCGGATGCCTGAGGGGATGAAGAAGGAGTCTGGGAGAGAGAACTGCAGGAGCAGGCTGACAGCTGGGTAAACCAAGAGCAAGGCCTACAGGCCACCAGGAGGAAGGTATCCAGAGCATCACTACCGCTTGAGTAAAGGCTGGGGGCTGGGGAAAGCCATACAGGGCAGCCCTGAACAACCCAGAGTATCAACATGATGGCACAGCTAATAAAGCCCAAAAGGGGCTCTTGGCAGGGAAAAGAGGGGCAGATGCTGAGGACTGACTGTCTGGGTGTTACAGAAACAAACTTCCCTGCAGCTAGCCAGCACCAGCTGGGTCCCTAGGTACTGTCTTAAGAATGCCAGGGGTGCCACTACTGGTCCCAGCAGCATGGTCAAACCTGTAGGATTCCTATTTTCTGCTCAGTCCTACAGATTAGGGCTGGCAGTGAGGATGCGTGACTTCAACTTGGAATCTGTGTGGGTTTTCTAGAGGACTCTCAGATCGCCTATGATCATTCTGACTCTGGACATTGGTGGGGCCTTTACAACTCTAACAGAAGAATAGAACAGCTCTCGATGTGCCTGTCTTCCCATTTAGTGTCTCTCTGCAAGTTATGGCTGGTGATCCCACCTGCGCTGCCTTCGGTTCTCCTCTTGTCAGACACTTGCTTGCCCTCTCCCTGAAGGTCTCCCCTCCTTCCGGCTGCTGCTTCACTCCTCCCCCTTCTCCAAGTGGGGTCTTTTTTCTTTAGTAAAAAAACCTACATGTAAATTCCTTCATGCCTGGAAACCCAAGGGACGTTTTGAACCTTTCAACAGTTTCTGCACCTTTGTCAGCTTGAGCAGCTGAGATGAGCCACTTTATAAGCCTGGGGGAGTTGAGATGAAAATTTTGCAGGATTTGAAAGTGGAAAAAATACGTCTAATTTAGCTCTTCTTGGAAAGAGGTTTTCAGGGCCTGCTTCCATCTCCCTTAGGGTTGCTGGTCCCAGCTCCGGGCTCCCTCTGCCTCCTAATCCTGAGCTGCTGAAAGAGAAGGTGAAGAACACGAAGGAGTGTGTGTGTGTGTGTGTATGTGTGTGGTGTGTGTGTGTGTGGTGTGTGTGAGAGGCCTCAGTGCTGGAAGCCACATTCGAGAGCTCCTCTGCTCTCTCGGTCTCATCAGCGGTTGGCTGGTGAGTGAGGGGGAAACCACAGCCCAGACAGCCTCCTCTCGAGCCCCAGGGAGACTGGTTCTGTTCAGGGCCAGGGGAGGCCAGGGTCATTAACACCGCAGCCCTGTAACATGAGCTTCATAATAGGATTTCCCAACAGGCTATTTCATTTAGAAACCTCTCGGGCCTCCTCTGCTCCTCGTGGTGGCCCTGCCCAGCGACCCCCAGAGAGGAATCAGATGTAACTGGCTGTCTGTAATCGACTGTGACACCGGCATGAGCAACAGGACAGGGAGCTGGAAGGATGCCCCTCTGTAGCATGGACTCCAGGATGCCGGGTTCTGGAGATGGCAGAGGATGGCAAGCGGGAGTTTCAGTTCCAAACTCCCTTGTACTCTGTATCGTCAGCCTTTCTGCCTTTGAGACACAGGGCTAGAAGCATCCAAATTCCACTGGTGTTGAGCAGATAATCGTGAATCTTCCAGGCCATTGTTAGAGCTACTGATCACGATTTGGCAGCGTCCCATGCATGAGAGCTGCCCTAGGTGGATTTTGTTTGAACTTGGTCATCCACGACTTAATATTTATGTATTATCAAAGATGATGACAGAGACATCATATGGTTATTACTGAGGTGGGGTGGGTAGTGGGAACATCACCACATCAGGAGTCTAATAGGGGCCCTAATGCCACCATTTTCGTCACCAACATCTGCCCGTGAAGACCTCTGGGGTCTGAGACTGCTGGAGTGAGTGGTGTGGGGATGCTGAGAGACTGCCTCATTTTTCCACAGAGAGGGGTCTGCCAGGGAGCATTTTTGGGCACCAGTCTGGAGAGCCATGGCTAGTTAATGTTAGCATTGGGATTAGAACTCAAGTCTAGGGAGGCCACTGTCTGTCTCCACTTCTGAGACTAGATTTTGCTAAAAATAGCCATCCTTTAAAGCACACCATGTATTTTGATGAATATCGAACTTCTCTCAACTGTCTCTCACAAATGACTCTCTGTCCTGTGTTTTTATACCTTATTTCTTCTGGGAATTCTGGTGGTTCTGTGGTTACACATTTCTGCACTGTCCCTCTGCACAGGACTCCATGTCCACTATCACCATCTCCTTTTTAATCCCACTAGGGGCAGCTCCATCTCTTCAGAGAGCTCTGACATGTTAAGCTGCTTATGAACCATCCAGATAGTACACAGCCCCTCAGAGGGCGATCGCAGGCTCACCAGGGAAGAAAAGGCTCTGAGGTTTTGTGCTTACAGGAAAGGGCAGAGGGAAGGAAGGGAGCTGCGGACTGAGGGATTGTGTGTCTCTTATTTGTATCAAGGGCCCGGCATGGGCCTGTGAGGGCTGTATCCTAGCTCCGTCAGGGCTGTTGTCAGACTTATCCTTTGCTTTCGGTCCCCATCTCTCGCTGTGGTTGGACAGTGCCTTTCTGCAGAATTTGAGCACACACATCTGCACAATTTTTTCTTTTTTTTTTGCATGGACGGAGACTCACCACTTTTCAGTTTGAAACATGGAGATGAAAAATTATACTGATTCAAGCTTGCCTGCAGTGTGGTCTTTTGGTTTTGGGCCCTCAGGAGCTCTGGGAGTCTGAGTTCTGTTTCCACTGCTTTTGGCCATTGATGAGTTGCGTTGACAGGGCCTTAAGACCTGGGTCTCAGGTCTCCCTCCATGCAGTAGGGTGAAGAAGACTGGAAAGAGCCGCTTCAGGGCTGTTGCAAATGGAGAAGGAATGCACCTCAAACACTGACAAACCACCTACGAACAAGCCTTATTTTGCCAACAGGGCTTTGACAGGCATGTTGAGAGAGGTGCAACCTTGCCTTTCCCTAGGAGAAGGGTCTCTGGCTGTGAATGTTCAGTCTAAACAAAGAGCTTGAGTGCTCTGGCAAGGCTGTTGAGCCCCCATTTTTGTTTCAAGGGCCAGTTAATAATACTGAGCAGGCAAAGTCTGGGGAGATGTGGTTTAGTCCAGAAGAGTATGGCTAGGTCTGATTTGGGTCCCAGAAGCCATCCATGAGGCAGAGAGTATCTCATCTTCCTATGTACCCACCTAGCTTGCTGCAGGATGAGTCTGTGAAGCTGCAGGTATGTTGGACTCATCCTCTTGTGTTTGCATGGCCAGGGAGGCCAGGAAGAAATGAGCTTAGCTACAATAGGGCCCTGGAGAGGTTGGTGAGAAGGAGGCATTGTTGAGAGCCTCAGGAAGCCTCCCGGAATCACTGGGCGTACATTTGGGCCAGCAAGGCCTAACCCAGCCCTAATGAGTCTTTTCATTGAGGGTAGGACCTAGTTAATTAGAAAGGCTGCAGAAGGAAACAGGCATTTTGGTTTCTGGCTTTTCCCTGGCCTCTATCTGGAGTAGCTTACTCACCTTCAGGGTCCCTGCATCAGCACACATTCCTGGTCAGAGCTGGAGGCACTGGGTCTTAGGGTATGGTCCTTGGGGCCCACTCTGATCATCTCCTTGCAGGTCTCAGCAGTTCTGACCTTCTTCCTCATTCAAATTGGATTCCACTCTTTAGGTCATGCGGGTTGGATAGTCCCATGTCTTTTCTTTCTTCAGCTACTTATTGGGCACCAACTGGTACTGGGCCCTATATGCTTGTACATGAGATTCAGCAGTTTTTCTTCCAGGAATGTGCTGCATTCTTAGCTCTTAGAAAGTGTTTGCAACGTCCAGAGGATGCTGGGGCTGCAAGTGGTGCCGTTGCCCTGGAGAACCTGATGAAGCATGGCTACATCTGGCTAGATAAAGCCTCGAAGGACAGAGAGTCAAGCACACCCCATGACACTTAACTTTGGTCTTCCACAGTAGTCCTCAGCCTAATTTTAGACACTTCTAGGGATGGAGCACCCGCACTTCCCAAGGAAGCCTGGTTAATTTCTGAACCTTTCTTCCTTGGAGTGGAACTTTTATACAAATCTCCACTCATGCAATTTACCTTTTTTTGTCATTACTAAAAACATTTTGAATAGGTAATATATGTGAAAGGTCAGTTTCCCTCCACTGTGGTTGTCACCAGGCTCTCTCATTGTCAGTTTCTAATATCTCTTGCAGAGAGTCGATGGATTTTGCAACTTTTCCCCCTTGTGTAGGGGCACACTACAGCGGACTTTGCACCTAGTTTCCCCACATCTCTTCTCAGTTAACACTGAAGTTTAACAGTAGTTTGGTTGTATTACATATAGATCTGCCTCATTCTTTCCAATGAGTGTTATTATTTCATTACATGAATATATTTTACTTAATTGGTCATTTATATACATTTAGATTGTTTTATCTCTTTTGCTATTTCTGAACAATGTTGCAACAGAGATCCTTGTGCATTAATCTTTGCACCTACATATATCTGTGAGAAAAATTAATTAATTTATTCAATGAATATTTATTGAGGATTTTCTATGTGCCAAGCACTTTCCTAAGCACTAAGAATGCAGTAAATTCTCAGAAGTAAAACTGCTGAATAAGAGTATATAAATTTTTAATTTTGATAGATATTCCCAAACTGTCCTACCCCGAAAGATATTTTCTACCAATTTTTGTTCACACCAGCAGTGTTTGAGAATTCCTGTTCCCTATACCTTTGCCGAGATAATAAAATATCAATCATTTTTATCTTTGCCGATCTAAGAGGTGAAAAATGGCATCCCATTGTTGTTTCCATTTGCATTTGACTTTGCAAAGTTCCATAAAATGCCCTGTTCAAGAACTGAGACTCAAGCATTCCAACAGAATACATTAAGTTGGGTGTGTTGGTGTGCTGCAGGCAGTTTGGGGCATGGTCTGCCCTTTACTCTCTTCTGTCCCATTCCCTCCAACCCTGCGTCATCCTCTGTATGTACTCTTTGTCCATCTCTAGTATCAGGACATTTTGACACATGCCTCCACCGATTTTGGCACTTCCCAAGCTGTGGTAGGTGAAATGTCTGCAGATGGGACAGGACAAGTGCAGGTGCCTGAGGCTGGAAGACCACCCCATTCTCATAGTCCAGTCTCAGGAAGGCCGACTCTTCCTGGTTTGCTAAGAAACACACCTTGCTTTTCCCATCTGTCTTCTCCTGCCCCTGGGCCTGTTTCGGGGCTTCTTGCCCTGCCCCATGCATCTCTCAGCTCTCACCTTTTGGCCCTTCACCCCGCATCCTTTCCTTTAACTTTCCCAGCTTACCTCTGGGGCCTCTAGCCTCAGCTCACCATGTTGACACTTCCATGGCCACGCCTTCCTAGATCACCAGCCCTCTGCCCTCCCCTCCTCCCACCTCCTCTTCATTTCTTCAGCCTTCACCAGACCTGCCATCCCTTCCCCAGCAGCCCCAAATCAGTCTCATCCCCTTCCCTGACCAGGTGTCTACCCTCTACTGGCGCATACACCTTCCCACTCTGCTACTCTGCTGAAGCCCAGGCCTTGTCTCTGCCAGGGGTGTTGGCTCAGCTCTGGGCTGTTGCTTGCTGCAGCTATGTGTATGTCTGTTTGGTTTTTGTCCCCCTGCTCTGTGGCAGCTCTTTCTGTCTGGGGCCATGCACTCCCTACCTCTCTTACTTACCTCAGTTTCCCTTTCCCCTCCCTTCCCCTCCTCTCCCTTCTTAGACCTTCTCTTGCTCCTTCCTTCCTTCCTTCTTTCCTTCTTCAGTACTTTTCTTCTAAAATAAATATATTCACATTGAAAAGTGAGTTAATTTAAAGAAAAATAATAAATAATAATAGTACATTTAAAACTTGCTACATATAAGTATGGCAAAAAGGAATAAAGATAATAGGCAAACGACTGATACTTGAAAAGAATGTTGATGCCCAGTTTACCTGGGCTAGGAGAGCAGCTTATGCACTCTTTAGTATAGCCCCACATTCCACTGCCACCCCCTAGTGATGGTTATATGATGGTTATGACCCGGATGTGGAGCACACTTCTGGATTGGCTTCCATCTTGTGTCGAAATGCTGATACCGTGTGGCTGTCATTTATAAAGCACTGACTGTGTGCTAGATGCTCTGCCAAATTCTTGTTCTGTTTATCTCTTAAATCCTCACAGAACTTTATGAGGTACATGTGATTATTAGCCTCATTTTTCCATGACAGATACCGAGGCACAGAGAAGCTAAGTAATTTTCTTAAGATCATACGACACAGGACTCTGAGGCCCTGCCGGTAACCACTATTCTCTATGCCTCCCAAGCTAAAGAAGAGCCAAGATTCACTTAGGGGTAGATTTCTGATTTTTGATGGGAGTTGGCATCAGTGTTCCATTTGGACTAAGGTGTAAGCCTTCACTAACATGCACAAAGAAAAGTCATCAGAGTTTGATCTACATTTGGGGACTTCATGGATAGTGTTCATTTCCCATTGGTAAGGGATGAACCGGGAAGTTCATGGAGTGATCATATTCACTGGTGAGAGTGAACTGAAGTCACTGTCTCTGCACGTGTCACCTGCATCATCATGCCCAGCTCACATTCCCATTCCTCTTCTCCCTAAGCTTCTCAGGGGCAGTGGTCATGCCTGATGCATCTCTGAATTCCTGCTTGCTCTGTGCCATCTGTTAAATGAAAACAGAACACAACACATTGAAAACAAAATTTGTGGAAGGAGAATGCTAGCTGAGAAGGGAGAGTCTTTGCATTAGGATGTATAAGAAAACATCCCAGCAGCATTGAGTAGAGGGAGCTCCAAAGAAACCGGGGAGGAATCAGGCACAAGGCTTGCACTTGTGGAGGTGATGATGGCAGAACCAGATGGAGGCAGTAACCAGTGATGGCAGAGGCCTTGTCTGTCTGTTGTCCAATATAGTGACACATTGTGCACAAACATACAGAACAAAAACAACAGAATGGTCGCAAGCCCATACGTTATGAAACTCTTTCACTAAAAGTTGGTGATAATGTCTCAGTTTGACAGAGGACATAAGGTCAGTGCAACGTGTGTATTTCAAGTGGAAAATGACAATCTGCTCTTTGCACAAGATGGATAGAGCTTCTCATTGAAATTGTATGGAATATGCAAGAACTCTGCCAAATCATGAACTTGGCAAAAATGTGCCTGTTCTGGGAATTAGGCGATTTCAGGGCTTCCATTTGGTTTCTGGGTCTGTCACACACATGCCCACATGGATCTGAATGTGGAGGCCCTTGTGACTTCAGGCTTCGCTTTGCTTTTTCTCACTGGCTCTGTTTGTCTTTTCCCTCTGCATCTTTGGTCAAATTTGTCTACTCTGTTTTCTTTTCTTTTCCTCCATTTATTCTGTTCTCTTGTCTGTCTTCTCTTTAGACTTGATTCGAAAAGAGGGAAAAGGAACGTGTTTCTTTGGTAGACTCTTAATAAGTGAATGGCTATTTCCATTCATTGTTTTTATTTTGTCTCTAGCAATTTTAAAAATGAACTCTTTTAATAGTAAAATACAGGAAACCAATGATTATCATTGAATCGATAGCAAATATCACAAGTGATTTTGTCATCAAAATAATTAATAATCACATTTGGACAATAAGATCATTAATTAAAAAGAACAGTAGCTTTAAAAAATTTTAAAGTGTCTTTGTAGGATGCCTTCCTTCTTTCTTCTCATTATTTTTCTGAAGCATTCTTTGCTTTCTTCACCTTCTTCAGCCCCATTCTTGATTACTTTTGGCTTATGAGAATTATTTCAAGCTCCCTTTTCTTCTAACATAGTTTGAATCTTTCATTCCAGATACTCATTAAGAACCAGTAGCCAAAGCTGTTCATTGTTGAATTTTACATACCCGATGAGAGTGACTGCTTCCACCTTGCAAGATGACATTGCTCCTTCCCCTGCTCTACCTACCCTGCCTATCTCTGCCTACCTACCCTGCCCACTTCTCTAAGAATTCCCTCTAGGGCCAGGCGAGGTGGCTCATGCTTGTAGTTCCAGCACTTTGGGAGGCCGTGGTAGGAGGACTGCGGGCTGAAGTGAGATATGGTAGTACCACTGCACTCCCGCCTGGGTGACAGAGTGAGACCCTGTCTCTAAAAAAATAAAAAGAGAATTTCCTCTAATAAAGACAATTATTTTGGAGAGTGTTTTATCTGTGGAGGTTGCTTTTCTCAGTCATTTTTCTCTGCCTGCCTGTAGAGAGAGCCTAAATTCGAGTTAACCATGTCTAAGCAGTGCAACAGCCCTCCCACCACCACTTCCACGTTGAGCACTTTCTGCAGCCCTGGGGGCTACCGATTGACTACTCAGAGAGCTGATAGCCTCAGTGCACAAGTCACACTGACTTGGACATCCACACAACCACTTCTTTGGGAGGCAGAAGTGCCTGCACCTGTGCATCCCAGAGGTTGGTGGCCTTGACTCTCTGATCTGCTTCCCCAGTGGCTATGCCTCTTCAGGTCTTTTCCCATCTCCTGCCTTCCCTGCCTGTAGCTGTTCACTGGCCCTTCCTTTCGGGCCACAAAGGGCTCTGTAGACAGAAGCTGTGTGCTGTTTGCCAACACGGCACTGGGTACACAGAGGGGCGAGGGAGAGGCCATCTGCTCGCTCCTTTCACACAGACCTTTGCTTTCTCCTTTTCACTCTCCTCCTTCTCTCTGTCTTTGAATGAGAATACAAAAATTTTTTAAAAGCAGTTGCTAATTAGAGCAAGAGAATGAGAGTGAGCCTGGAAGAGAGACACAACAGAGAGGCCAGCCCCCGTGCAAATCAGCCGGCTTTTAAGAGCCAGTGAGGAAAGAGACAAGGAGGGGGCCTTGACAGGGCTTGGGAAGGATATTTTGACAAAATAAGCAACAAAGCTTCTTCAGAATGGCAAAGAGGGCTTTGTCTTAACCTCCTATCATAAAAGGGGAGGAAACAAGAAATGACAGAGAGTTTCTTGTGAACTCCCACTGCCAGCCTCCACCTACCCTGGCTCTTCTTGTCTTTTTCACTCCCTCAATAGCCCAGTAAACAATAGTCTCTATTTAGGGACATTTAAGTGTATCCTTTTATTGATAATTTTTGTTCTGGCTGATAGAGAGTGAGCAATTGGTGGCTTCTCTTCCCAGGCAGGCCTGGCTTCCCCAGGCAGGGAGCTTGCCCTTGCAGGAACTGCTAAGTCACCAGGAAGTCCCAGCTTGGAAAATATGTCCCAACAAGTCAAAACTTTCTTTCAGGATTTTGTCCCCATCACTCTACCCTATTCTTGGTTCACCTAGTGATTTCTTTTCCCATCTGCATTCCTGCCATTCTGTTTGCCTAGAGCAGCCCTGATATTTGGTGCTGAAGTGCCTGCCCAGTGCAAGGCCAGGGGAATGGCAGTCAGTGTTAGAACAGGGCTCCACTCTGGCCCTGAGTTCTGAAAACCCACTCATGCTCAAGAAGGTTCTGGCCACCGCAGCAACCAGGGATGGGGGCACCTGCATGGCAGCTCTGCCATGGCTTAGAATAGAGCTGCCTTGTCCTTTATTCAGCCAGCCTCACTCTAAAAGCTGGGAGGTCCCAGAAGGACCAACTTCAGAGAGTTGTGAGGCAGAGGGAGGGACACATGGTGACAAGACTCCTCTAGAGATGCATTTTCTCCAGGCGTAAGATGAATGGACTGATGGCCCAGATATATAAAGACTTTTAAGTAAGTGCTATGCACATTGAAAAACTTAGGTCATTTTCTGAGTTCATGTGAGTGTAAAAAAATGAAAATGAGAGTGGTGGAAGCCTCATCACAACACACACTGGTACTAACTAGTCAGGGAGGAAGAAAGGAAAAGGAAATGGAACCTGGGAAGACACGTGCTATGGTTTGAATGTGTCCCCCAAAAGTCTGTGGGTTAGAAACTTGGTCCACAATGCAGCAGTGTTGAGAGGTAGGACCTTTGCAAGGTGATTGGATAATGAGAGCTCAGCACTCATGAATGAATTAATCCATTCATGGATGAATGAGTTATCAAGGGAGTGGGTTAGTTATTACTAGAGTGGATCCTATAATAACTATATTACAGTGGTTATATTGTTACCATTTTGGCCATCTCTCATGAGTCCCTCACCATGTGATGCCCTGCACCACTTCAGGGCTTTGCAGAGTCCCCACCAGCAAGAAGGCCCTCACCAGAAGCAGCACCTTGACCGTGGACCTCCCAGCCTTCAGAACTGTAAGAAATAAATTCCTTTTTCTTTATTAATTACCTAGTCTCTGGTTTTTAGTTATAACAACAGACTTTGTCTTTAGTCCTAAGACAAAAGGATGATAATTGATTTATCCTCTTTCATTGGTGACTTTTTAAGGTGATGGATGCATTAGAAGACTATCCCACTGGAGTCTGTTGGAAAAAATCTGCTCATTCTGAGATGAGGTCTCAAAGTGGACTTTTCAGGAGTTCACACTCAGTGGACCTGTCTCTAACACACAATGTGTCTCCCTGAACCCTCAGTGCAGTCTATCTTGGCCCTGTCCAAGGACCTCTCTAGAAAACAAGGGCATGAGTCAATGTACCATGCAACTAGCTAGGGGGGAAAAAGCTTTAGAGAAAATAGCCGTAGAAGTATAGTTTTTAAGAGCTGGCAGCTTGAGTTGTTGAATCCTTAATCTGTGTTTATTAATGGAGTGACTTGTCTGAGCCTCAGTATGTTAAATGATGACATAACAGCACTGAGCTCATATTTGCTGTGAAGAC